AATTGTAGTTACACATATGCACCAGTAAAAGCGAGTTCTTTTGCTTCACCAGTGTCACATTTAAATCAAGCCTGAATCTGGTGCTTTCAGTTGTTTTTCTGCTGTTCTGGCTCCAATACTAGAAGTCAGATGGGACAGGTGAAAAATACTTTAAAACACCAGAGCATAGTTAGGTAAGGCACAGCGAGGGTAGAGTTCCCCTCTCCCACATGCTCTGCTTTTTGTTTGAAAATAGATTAACCTACCTGCTGCTTGAGCATCTGGGAAAAGAGGAAAAAACTCACCTACCAATGTTGTTATATTTCTCTCTTGGCCCACTCTGCAAGGGAGAATTTTAATGGCTTCTAAAACTAGGATGCTTTCTCTTATCTGGCTGCAGTTTGGCAGAAAAGATCTCTTAGGTGAGAGGTGTGACCTTGAGAGTTTTATCCCGGTTGGGCATAGGAGGGGAAGGTATATTTGGAAATATTTTCAGAGGGTACCCGTGGCTTCAGGAGGGATTTGAGCAGATTTGATTTGAGTCCAATGGCACCTTAGAGACCAACAAGGTTTATGAGGTGTAAGATTTCAAGAGTCAAATCTCGGACAAAGGGAGCTTTGATTCTTGAAAGCTTATACCCTGAAAACCTTGTCGGTCTCTTAAGGTGCTCCTGGACTGGAAATACGTTTCCTACTGAAACCACTGACTATTGGATTGTTTAAAGTGAGTAATATTGGACTGTTTCAAGTGTCTAAAATAACAAAATAACCACAATCTATTTGCATACCTCTGCCTGAGCAGACACTATCCTCCTGCCTTCAGCCCAGCCATAGCTTTGTCCTGCCCTGTACCTATTTTTTATTTAAGAAAATGCCCACCTGGACACTCGATGCAATCTGCTGTGCTACATACATTATTGACCATGTTTAAGACACGCCTACAGCATTGTGGGATGTAGCTGTATGGGAGGCCACAGCTAACTGCAAAAGGCAGGAGCAAGTCTCAGCCGTCTGTGGTCGCACCAGAGGCTTCTAGTGAGCACAAATCATGGTCTGTTATTACATCTGACTGTGCCTTTGGAGCCAGATGCTGCTGCTCTGGTTCTCAGATGTGAATTCCTGAAGGTTTGGGTTGAGCAATCTGCTCAGTTGTTAGCAAAGGTTGCAATAAATTATCTGTTGCCTTTGAAGCGAATGATATCTTTCTGCTAAGTAACGGCAGTGTCTGAAGGAGGCTGGTAAATTAACCCATTATAGGCTGTAAAGCACTTGGTCTGCAACTGCCATCAGAGATCCCACAGCACAAACCCAACTTTGGAAGACAATACTTCTCAACAGAAGCAGTTATATTCAGCCACCAAGCAATGTGTTGTATAGCAACGTACACATATGTGGGAATGAGCCACAGTGAGCCACAATATCTCATAATTTAAGAACACTGTAATTGTAATTTCTGTTCCTAGGGGCTGAAAAATGGTCCCAGTATTCTGTATTCTGTATTCTAAGGCATTTAAAATGTGGCCTCACCACCAAAGCAGCTGAAGCCATCAGAGGTGGAGAAGTACAACCTTCCTCATCAGCCTGTTCCGGCCACTCTCCTGTACTTCCTTTCAGCACCCCTGCTTGCTTGAGCCACCAGATACACTAAATTTCAAAAAGGCTTAAAAGTGAGTTCCTATTCATGAGCAGAAAGGCATTTTTTTGGCTCTTTTGTATATGGAAAACCATGAATCTCTCTTATGCAGGTACACTCAAGGAGACTCCCCCACCTAGCCATGAAATATAATATAGAGAAACCCCTCCTAGTGCCATGAATCCTCTCACCCCTGAACGTTTCTATTGGTTCCAGCTATTTTGTGATGCAGCTGATATTCCAATAGGTGTGTTATATTAAAAGGAACCTCTTGTAACAAGGGCCCCATGGACTAGACTTTGAAGCTATAACCACCATAGTTAAATTTGGCTCCGCCAGCACTTGAGATTGACCCAGAATGTTTTGAAATCCAGAGAAACCTACATTGACCATACTGAGCAGCAGAGGTTAATGTATCCTGGAACACAATTATCTTTTCATATTTTAGTCTTTGTAAAAGATGCTGAAGAAATGATTTAAAGGAAATGCCTCATAATATTGCACAGGACTAAGGGGAGAACCCTTAGCCATTTCACTACTTTCCAATTTAAAATGCAGAACAAGTTTTAGTAAAGCATTGCTCTGAAAAGCGGACCAGGCCCTATCCTCATTTCCTGCCCTGGAGTCCTGTTGCACTGGTCACTGCTTTTTCCGATGCATACACTCTTGTTTGTAGGTTGGCAATTAGGGGGAAGGAGCTGGTATTCTTCAGGGAATCAAATCTGGCTCTGAGGCATCCATTTGCTAATCTTGATGTTATAGCCCAAACAAGGGGAAATCACTACATAATTCAACAGATACATTTTAAATTGCTAAACCAAGGTCCCAATCCAGGGACACAGAAGAAGGCTTCATCCTTATTGCTACTGTGAATTCATACGTACCTCACCTAATGCAATCAACACTATTGGCTCTGACAGGTTAGAGGAAACAAATGAGGTGCTTTGATAAAATCCTTTACCTGCTTACCCCTCTCACTTCTGCCACAGCTGAACAGAACTTTCAGACCCAGCATTATTAATAACTAGGAAGCAGGCCCATTGTGGAAATAAAGACAACCGTCTCTAGAAAGAGGCTCTGGGAGAGTGCCCCGGCTGTGGGCAGTCAGTGTCAATTCGAGGTGGCAACCTGAGCAGGGTATAATGACAGTCAGCATTGTCTCCAGGGTAAGTGTAGTGGGGAATCTGCCACCAGTAGGATTAGATGGTGCAGAGGTAGGTAATCTAGTGATCTTATACTGTTAAGACAGGTTCAGACTCTCATTGGAGAAGGGGTCAGTGGAGAATAGGCGTGAAGCCTGATAGGACAGGAAAGGAATTGTTAGTGAAGTGAGTCTCATAGGTCAGGTCCCGCTTTCTGTCTTTAATTTTCCTGTGTTCCACTACGAGGTCTTTCTTTGGGGTTGGTAGGCATGGGGGGGGGGACACACGCAGATCTGCCCTCACAGAGGAGGGAGAGCTTGTACCAGAATAGAACTTGGTCCTAAAGGTGCCACTGGACTGTGTTGGGTTGGTAGCTATGCAGATCTGTCCTCACAGAGGAGGGAGAGCGTGTATCTGGAAAAACCTTGGTCTTAAAGGTGACAGTGGACTGTCTTGGATTGCTAGCTATGGAGGGGGGGGACAGAGATCTGTGAAAAGGGAAAGGGGGAGAGAAGGAGAGAAAGAGGAAGGAAGGAAGGAAGGAAGGAGGGAAGGAAGGA